AAAACCCGAAGCCTAGATACCAGTCTGGTGAGAGAGTACGTTATGAATGCCTCAAACCTTATGACCTTTTTGGGGACGTAGAAGTGACATGTTTAAATGGAACTTGGACAAAACCACCTCAGTGCAAAGGTAGAGTATCTTACCTACTCCCCCAATATCAGAGAATTTATTAGGGACAAAATATGTTAATATAAATATATATAAGGAAGTAGTTCTTATGGAATAATTTTGAAATGCAAATGAAACAGTGGTGGTTAAAATCCAGTTCTTTTGTCGACTGAATAAGTAATCTGACATATTTATTTTGTGAAAGATGTGACCAGATTTGAACAGTTGGAATCGTGGAAAATTTCCTGTCTTAAGTATTAAATCCTGAAGAATAAATGGGTTAAAGATACCAGAAGTACCTCTGACACCCCAACATATTCCAGTTTGACACGAAATTCCACTGTGAGACATGGAATAGGGACCTGGGGCCTCGCATAGGACGTGATATAATTTGGGCATCTTCAGCATATGGATTGTATGTAAATGCATGTTACTGGCTGAGCTTATTCAAGGGCTTAGTGTGCACATTAAATAAAGAGTCTGGGAACTTGGTCCTGGGACCCGTGAGTGTTTAGAGTTCAGGAAGTAAGGGGAGCCAAGAAAATAACAGATCAGCCACTTGTGGTTTTCAAGTGGTATGTTTCTTTTTCGAATTTTATCATATGACCCTACATAAGGTTTCATGTTTAACCTGAATTTTTTTTAACTGAAGTACAGTCGGTTACAATTTGTCAATCTGGTGTTCAGCACAATGTCCCAGTCATGCTTATACATACATATATTCATTCTCATATTGTTTTTATTAAAGGTTATTACAGGATATGGAATATAGTTCCCTGTGCTATACAGAAGACATTTTTTAAAAATCTATTATTATATATAGGGGCTAACATTTGCAAATCTCAACCTCCAAAATTTAGCCCTGAAGTGAATTTCTTGTCAACAGCATAGTTAGGTCTTGTTTACATGTCCACCCTGACATTTTCAGCCTTTTAACTGCTATATTTAGACCATTTAATTTAAAGTAACTATTAACATATTAGGGCCATGGCAGCCAAAAATTTTAGCATTCATTTTATGTGTGTTTCCTCCGTTTCTCATCCCCATTTTCTTTCTTGTCCTTCCTGTGGATTTTTCGACATTATGAAGTAGTTTAATTTTCATATTCAGCATTACTTCTGAGCATATCTCTTTGCATTGTTTTATTAGTGGTTGTTCTGGGTTTTAACACACACATACAGCGTACCACTCCTTACCTGTAAAGACGCTTTACCGCTTCAAGTGAAATGTGGAAATCTTACTTCCATTAGGCCCATTTAATCTCCTCACGTCTTTAACATAAATGTCTTAAGTGGTTCCTCCACATACATTGAGCACCGTATCAAATGATATAAGTTTACACAAACATAATTTTACAAAATCATTCAGGAAAAGGTAGCCTTATTATATTTACCCCTATTTTAAGAATCGGTTCCATTGTTTTCCCTTCCCTTCTAAAGTCTTAGCTCCTTTTCTGTTATGTTTACTTTGTAACTGAAGAAATCCTTCAACAATTCTCTGAATATAGGTCTGTTGGGGACAAATTCTGTTTTCCTGTGTCTGGGAGTGTCTTTATTTCTCCCTTTTATCCTAACGGATACAGAATTTGGGGCTCACAGCTCTTTTCCCCCAGCATTGGGAAAGTGTTGTCTCTTCTGTTTGGCTCTGTGGTCATGGATGAGAACCCTGCTGGTGTCGAAGCCTTTTTCCACATAAATATTGCGCAGTATCTTCCTAGCTGCTTTCCACATTCTTTTCTTTTTCTTTAGTTTCCAGCAGTTTGATTATGATGCGTCTTGAAATAAATGTCTTTGGGTTTATCCTGTTTGGAATTCACTAAGCTGTTTTAATATATAGGTTTCTGCCTGATGACCTATATGTGAAATTTTCAGCCATTATTTAAAAGTTTTTCATCTCTATCCCCTTTCTTTTTAACTGCAGGGTTGCCAACGTTTTCCTGTCTTTCCATGGGTCCATGAAGCTCTGTCCATTTTTTTCAGTCTATTTTCAAAGTTAGTTTATATTCAATTTAATTTATCCTTCTGTTAGCTGCAGTGTATTGAGTCCACCTGGTATGGTTCTAAAAATAATTCTGTTACTCTATTTTTCAGCTCTAAAAATTCAATCAGATTTTTAAAAACTGTTGTCCAGTAATTTCAATATTTGTGTCATCGCAGTGTTGTCTTCTGTCGATTCTCCTTTTTGTTTTGAGGCTTTTGTGGTCCATGCTATGTTGAGTGATTTTCAATTGTATCCTGAGCGTTTGGAGTATTGCCGTTTGAGACTAAGGACTTTATTGAAATCTTTTATTTATCAGGCCTCCATTATGGCCATGCAGGGTGCAAGTCTGGGCTTCCCACTTGGCCTCCACTGACAGCAGGAGAACGGAGAGAGGCATCTTGTTGCCTCAGCCTGGGGGTGGAAGTCCAGGCTCCTTACTTGGCCTCTGCAGATCAAGGCAGGGGAAGGGCTGTCAGCTTCCTTCTACGGTATATTTGTGTAGTGAGTCAGGATTGGAAAAGGTGTTTCTGGCTTGCTAGGCGGCTTCACTTAAAGAGAAAGATATGAGCATTACTTGAGCACTTTTTTTTGTCTGGGTAATATTCCTGGGTTGCGGTCTCAGTGCCCAGTCCAGGACACACAGGGGGCGAAGTGGAAACACACTGTCCTTCCTTGAATCCCAAGGTCTCCAACCAGAGTGATTTCTCTCTGTCCTCCACAGTCTCCTCTGTTGGTGTTCATCATATGCAGGGTGTTTACTTAGCAGAAGGAATACTTAGCAGAAGCAATGAGCAGAATGTTTCCACCTCACCTTGGCCAGAAAAAGAAGCCAGCATTCCCTTTCCCACTATTCACGTTTGTAATTCTTGACTTTTATTAAAGGATCTGATGTTTCCTTTCTAATAAAAATGAAAATCATTAAAAATGACTAGGGCTTCAGTAGGCACTGCTGTACGTTCAATACAAGGACACAGAACTTTTTGTTTATCTTACCGACCCATCTGCACAGTGTATATTCACTAAGAAAACATTTTTTAATACTGGAATAATACAAAGAAGACATATTTGTTAATGTATTATGTGTCCTTTCATGTGGGGTGAAAGGACCGGCTTTAAAATATGCTTCAGTTTAGTGATGATTACTTCTTCAGTAACTTTCATGTTATTAGATATCACAAGCTTTAATACTGCACACTATGCTGCTTTCTTTATTTTAAACTGTGGAGGCTTTTCTTTGGTGCTTCAATAAATCTAACAACATATTCCTTAGACTCTCAAGGAAAATGTGGGCCTCCTCCACCTATAGACAACGGAGACATTACCTCGTTCCCGTTGCCAGTGTACCCTCCGGGCTCGACCGTTGAGTACCAATGCCAATCCTACTATGAACTGGACGGAAACAGGACTGTAATATGTAGGAATGGAGAGTGGTCAGAACCTCCCAAATGCTTAGGTGAGTATTTTAATCTTCTCGTGGATCCTCGGAAATGAGTGCAATGAATATGATGGTTAGCTGTTTACAGTAGAATTTCCATAGATTAATAAAAAGCCATGCTGCTGCTTCACTAAAAATATTAGTATGAGCAGAAATAAAGTTTGACAATTATTGTTTCAAGCAACAATAGCAACAAAAGATTCCTTAATGAAAGCTCTTCATATGATCACTGACATTATGATTCTTTAAGCATTGCATTTAATTTTTACATTAAACAGTACCTCATTTTTACATCATTAACTGTTTGAAACGATGGAATCTACATAAAGGATTTTCAGTGAGTTGGTTTGGAAAAGATTTACAGAATAAAGTCCTGGACCAGTGTCCAAGACTGTGCTTGAAAATCTGAAATTCTGTGGAAAATATTTGTATACTAATTATCGTTTTATGTTTTTTTTAAACTTCAGAGACATGTGTAATTTCAGAAGAAATCATGGGAAAACATAACATAGAGTTAAGATGGAGATATGCTAAAAAAATTTATTCTAAAACCAACGACATTATTGAATTTCGATGTAAACGTGGGTACCGGGAAAGGTCACCTGCCCATACTTTTCGAGCAACCTGTCGGGAAGGACGAGTGGCGTATCCTACTTGTGGGTGAAACAACGGTTAAAATGCAGCCGTAAAACTGAAATACGCAGATGTATTCAGAACTGTTCATTGTCAATCCAGTTCTTCTGAGTTTGTTTTATGGAGTATCATTTAACTCCTTTTATTCATAAATCAGAATTTGTGTTAACTATTATGTGGATGATGCAGTTACAATCTGGGAGACCAATAAATCTCACTTCGTAAAAGCACCTCATTAAAACCTGGCAAATAAAACTGCTGTGTGTCCTATTCATGAAACATCGACGGTGAGAATCACTTCAGTGCTGCTTCCATCCGTAGTTCTCCCACCTTCCTCGAATCTATCTCTTCAGCTTCTCAGGCTTTCTGAGCCTCTCTCTTATCCTCTCAAAACAATAGCACTTCACAAATAGGTAAAAAGAAAACCAGGCCATGCCTCTGTTAGTAGTAAGATGAACAGAGTCGTTTCCCGCCTTTGCTGACCTGTCAGTAAACAGTGCACCCAGAAAAGATGAAAGATGTGACCTTGTATGAGATGGCTGTGGAGCACATTTAGTAATTCAGCCACATCATTACGAGCAATCAGAATCAAATTGGATGAATAAATGTCTTAATGTGACATGAAAAGTGATTTTAAAAACCCAACATCAAGTATAAATACAGACACATACACACACTATGCTCTAAACACTGAAGACATTTTTATAGAAAAAATATTGGCAGGATAAATACTTAGACTAACTATAGTTGAATTTGGACATAATAGAATAAGTGTGGTTTTAACTCCTTTTTACTTACTCGTATTCTCCATTTTTTCTCTTTAATGTATATCACCTTTGAACCATAATATATGTCATTTTAAAATACAGATATATACGAAGTAACCCAGTATGTGTTGAGAACTGTAGAGGCCTCTTTGGTAATGATGTCAGATCAAATAAAATGTTCATGATTTTGCTGGTACAGATGGTTTTGCAAGCATTTAATCACAAGAGTCTGAAATATGATTTTTATGTTTATACATTTCAAAGAGCAGAGTTGGTTTAAATCAGTTGCCTATAAGTTCTCTATTTTATTTTATTTATTACTGAAGTACAGTCAATTACAATGTGTCAATCTCTGGGTGTAAATCACAAAGTCCCACTCATGCCCTATGAGCATGTTAAATTTCTAAAACTCAGGAAAACGCTAAGGTGAAAATAGAGCTCTAAATAATTAACCTAAATGTATTTTAAGGTGGTATCTTGTTACTCCATGCTGCATCAAACCCAGTGGCTTTCTTAGAAAAACAAGCATGGGCCATCAGCACTGGAGCTCATGGATCTAAATCTGAAGCACTGGTCACAGCCAGTTTTCTCACCTTTAAATGAATATTGTTACAACTGGCAAGTTATCATTGCTGTCAATGTTAACATTTCTGTAGATACTATTTCCCCTAATTTTCACCTAATGGTTGTAGAATCTATTTACAACATGTGACTACGATCAATTATGTCACTTTTGGCTAGAAAAAAGTGACTTTTAAGATTCAATTCTATCATTTTTCTGCATTTTAAATTGTCATTCTGTGTAAAGATGAGTTTTAATTTACCAACTCTTTTTACATTAAACTCACCTAAAAAGTTTTGGCAAACCTTTAGTTTTGACCTTTAATTTTCAATATTTGGAGCAAGGGCTTGATGTAATCATAACCTTCCATGATGGTTGTGAGATGTTTTCCCTTAAGAAAAAGGTATCAGCATGGACTCCTAGATTTTTATTTCTTTAATTTATCACAACCAATTATTTGAAGTGAGTTATTTGTTTGAAGCTCAAGTTATCCAAAATTTGGTGGTGAGTGCCTCCTGAACCTGGCTTCTGATTGATTTTCTTGTGTCCCATGGGTCTTTGAGCATTTCCCTCCTTTTTAGCAGAATACCGATGACCCAGTGTCACTGTATACCTCCCAGGCCCAGCGCCCATCATCACACATCTCTTTAAAAAGCTCTGATTCTCTGTATTGCAGAATAGGCTGTGGGACCGAGGAACTGTGTTATCGGTGCTAAGTGGGGGTTTGCAACACTGTTGAAGTGCCCGTACTTCCAGGATCTTTTGGTTGTCAAATCTCCAAAACAGAAAGGAAATTTTTCCTGTGGTTATTTTTTTTAGTATTTTTCATTGAGTTACAGTTGAGTTCCAATAGTTTCAGGTGTACAACAATGTGAGTCACAAGTTTTACAGGCTATACTCCATTTACAGCTATTATAAAACCCTGGCTACACTCCCTGTGTGGTACAGTATCTCCTCGCGGCTGGCTTCTCACGTGTGGTACTTAGTGCTGCTTATCCCGCCGCCCTGTGCGCCCCTCCCCCTGCCCTCCACCCACTGGTACCCACTTGTTTGTTCTCTGTATCTGGGAGTCTGTTTCTTTTTCTTACAGTCACTTCTTTGCTAACTTTTTTAGATTCCACGTATAAGTGATACACAATTTTCATCTTTCTCTGTCTGACTTATTTCACTAAGAATAATACCCTCCAAGTCCATCCATGTTGTTTCAAATCACAAAATTTCATTCTTTTCTATGGGTGAGTGGTATCCCATTATATATACACATGTATCACAATGTGTTGGGTTTGGGTAAATCTGGTCAGGTATAAACAGAAGAAAACCGTCATATTTTTTCTCAGGGAAGTCCTGGTTAGTTCAGATAACTAGAGAAGATGAGAAGATTTAACTTTGGGGCATCCAAGTTCATGTGTTTACTTTAAAGGAGGAGTATGAATTTCCAAGCTCAGATGGCTTTTGACTAAGGTTATTTGAAGACTTTATTTTTAAGAGGTAGGAGAAGAGCTGTGAATTTCTAACACTTCACGCGTATCTAGTATGCAGGAGTGGGAATTAAATAGCAAAATGTTTTTACAATTGCCCCAATATTGCAGAATGCCAGTTACAAATAAAATTCGTTAAAAATGTCTGTACTCTTTGCCCAATTGTACTCAGATATCTAGCATTTTTGGAAGGAAACAAAAAGCACACAGGTAAAAACATACATCTATAGATATGTATTTCTAAAAGATGAAAACAGTAAAAGGAAAATACCACCAGATGTGGTACTAAAGAATGGACTAAGTATCCGGCACATTAAATAAGTACTACAGAGGAGAGTCTTGTTATAGTTTGAGTCTGCAAAGTGGAACACCAGAGGGGAAGATGATTATATGTAAGATGACAAAGCTGGAAAGGAAGAAAAAAAACAGTAAAGATTCAATCTAGGGAAGTAACCAGAACAATGAGAGAGAACACAAAGTATTTTTTTTAATTTTAGTGAAACGTCATAGTTTTTTAAGCTAAAAAATGAGAGTGATATGCATAGATATGGACTAATTTCCTTCCATGCAAATGTGAGAATATTTCTGAATAAATCTCAGACTTCTTTTTTAAATTAAAGGATAATGAACATATCCTGCACACATCCAATTCTCTTGAGGGGAAAAGTGGCCTTATTCTCATATGAAAGTGTAAGTGATGAGTAATACATGCTAAGTCTAGTATGAATAAAGCACTTCAGGGATATACTAATGCCTTAGGAGAAATCAGTCTATTAAACCCATCAAGAAAAATTAAGTGCAAGAACTTTTATTCACTATGAAACCTACAGAATAAAAATAAAATGGTTTAGAATCACTCTTAAAAGTAATCTTCCCAGAAAGAGAAAGGAAAATACCATATGATTATCACTTACATGAGGAATCTTAAAAACAGACACAAACTAACTTCTTTACAAAACAGAAACAGACTCACAGACATAGAGAGCAAACGTATAGGGGGAAGGGGAGAGGGAAGAGATAATTGGAAACGTCAGGTACCTTGATTGTGGTTGTGGTTTCATAGGTTAGGTGTATATACGTCTATCAAAACTCGTCAAATTATACATCTCAAATATGTGTAGTTTACCACACAGAAATTACACCACAACAAAGTTGTTTAAAAATAAATTTTAAAGTTCTAAATTTTTTTAAAAAATTCAAAAGACCAGCAAGGAATTTTTTAACTATAGAGTACTATTTTTATGCCTAAATGAAACATAAGGCTGTGAGGTGGCTCTGAAGAGTTAGAGAAACAGTTCACTCTATTTAACAGTGGTCTTCATAAATTATATTTTCTTATGATTTGAATTCTCTAAATAACAGTGATCTGTGTGCACTATGTATTGTCAGCATCCTGAAGGCTGCAGTGAGGACATCCACTGTCACTGCAGTCCCATCACAGAACCTGGGAGACATTGAAATTTAAAACAGAGACACAGTGAAAAAGTGTAAAGAATTCATTAGCTGTAGAAATAATATAAATTATCTACCCAAGTTTTATTTGGAGATATGAAGTTCACATTTTTGGCTATCCCCGTTCAGTCGAGATGACCAGGGCAGGCTCAGAGAAGCCGACCTAGAATCTGATTTGATTTGAACTGAGAAAATGTAAACCTGATAATGTTGGTAATGCCTTCTATTTCCCTTTCATTTCTCTAAAAATCAATTTTAACATGCACATAAGGCAAAATGCACCTATTTTAATGATCAAAAGATTTTGATGAGTTTAGAGAAAATACACTAACGTAGCACCACCACCACAATCAAATATATAGAACAGTTTCGTCACCCCCAAAATGCCCTTGTGCCCATCCAGGCCCATACTCCCCACCCTCCGGTAGCCCCTGATCTGTTTCCTGTTACTGTGCATCAGATTTGGCTCTTCTAAGATTTCACTGAAATGTCATCATATAGTACTCTGGGGTAAGGCTTCTCTGGCTCGGCACAATTGTTTGGAGATCTATCCACATCGTTGCATGTGTCAGGAGTTCATGTGTGTTCATCACGGAGTAGTTCCCCACCGTACGGATAGACCACAGTTTGTTCCTGTACTACAAATGCTGATAGATCTTTAGATTGTTTGTAGTTTTTGTCTATTATAAATAAGGTTATTATGAACATCCACGTGTAAGTCTTCGTGTGGATATATGTCTTCTTTTGGGCAAAAATCTAGGGGTAAGGCTGCTGGGTTCTATGGTTCAGAGTATGTTTAACTTCATAAGAAACGACCGAACTGTTCCCCAAAGTGCTGCTTCCGTGTTATGTCCCCGTCAGCAACATATAAGGGTTGAAGTTGCTCTGTGTTCTTACCAATACTTAGTCCTGTCATTCTTTCTAATTTTCTCTGTTCTTTTCTTTTTAATTAAAAAAGTTTCTGGGGGGGGTAGAATTCGGTTTGCTTGTTTATTTTTAGGGGAGGTAGTGGGGAT